CAACCGTTGGGGAAAAAAGGTTCTCGAGTGGCTGCCTCGTACCGGTAGGGGAAGTGTAGGGCGACCCCCCACTAGATGGAGTGACGACCTGGTAAAACTCAGAGTCGGCTAAAGGCTCAGGACCGTGCTTTGTGGCATACCTTGGGGGAGGCCTATGTTCAGCAGTGGAGGGCTGTAATGATGATGATACAGCTAAAAAGTATTCGCGGTCATTTTTAAATAGTATCTAAGGGTGACAAACGAGCACACAATCCATCTGATGATAAGTGGTTGCTGTGACCGATATACATCTACATCTATCCTCGGTTACGAATCAAAATGCTGATGCATTGTCACCCGGGAGGACTAAGATGGAATGCCTCGTTTCCAGTTAAAAAGTTTTAGTTATCTATACTCACCATACGAAATACAGCAGCTTTAAGTTGGTATTCTGTAAAAGCGTTGGCCTTCTCCGGTCGAGCCGATCCATTCGTGTTACAACTATACTACCACATTGAAAAAAATGTATAGCTGATTAAATAACAAAATTAAAAATATAAACGATATGTTGTTGTTGAGAAGGTGATTTCAGCTGAGTAAATGTCATGGTTTTTGACAAACTATAAGGCCGGTTATTGCGCTCTGAGGTGTGCAATTATACACAACATCACCACACGTCTTTCTAAAAATTGGCCAGTTGGCATACATTATTTGGATACCATGGTCCTCAAGGGTGCAACACATCTGCATTTTGTTTCTTTATTGAAGATAAACGTAGATGTCTATGAGCCACATCATCCACTAAGCACCAGGTGGACTATGTGCTCGTTTGTAACTCTTATTCTATAAAAAAATTACTTAATAGAAAAAATATGTAGGAATCCACTGCAGAAACAGAAACTTTTTTATTCAATATAGATTATAAATAATACTCAATGTCATTTTTATTGCCCTTTACATTTCATTAATAAATTTAAACAATTTAAATACAAAAATGTTAAGATTTACGAAGAGAGGTTTTATTATTTTAATGCCGGATTATGTTTATGTGCTATTAAAAGGCCTACTACATAGTATGTGATGACAGCTAGTATGTGACAGCTAGTATGTCATGACAGGCAATATCGTTTTAAAATTACACGTATGGTCAACACAACAAGTTCCACAGAAACTGTGTGACTTTATGAGTAGTGGAATAAAACTTTTCATCTTATTCATAAGCTCATAAAAATCTCCATAAGCACTACCGAGTCGACAGGAAAGAATATTTTCAAACATAGTCTACCGGTGAAATTAGACCTCTTCCATTGTACGATAGATTTTGCGAAATAATAATAAGTTCCCGGATGATTTATATATTTTTTACGTGGTAGAGCCATGTGGCTGCTATATTATGGATGCAGCACGAATGAGTCGGTTAGATGGTGGTAGGACCACGCTCTCACAGAATACCAGCGTCAAATAGCAGCTTAATGTTCGTATGGTGAGTGTAGAGAATCGGAGACCCATCTTACAGGTAACGAGGTATTCCATCTTAGTCCTCAGGGGTGACAATGCATCTGCATTTTAATTCTATGGGCCGCAGCATCCACTTACCTTCAGGTGGACTGTGTTCTCTTTTGTCACCCTTATTCTATAAAAAATGAATTTTAACTTAAGACGTGTAACTTTACGTCAATTTAACCATAAGACTTAAGCAAAAGAACTGTCATTCGATGTAATAGATAAAGAAGAGCATAATATAATTTATCCTTTTATCCCGTGGGTTCCTTACGATACTCGGGGACACTAGATACTCAAGTCTATTTACCGAATGTAGTGTGTACAGTGTTGCTACGCCGACTAACGCGTGTAGTTTTGTTGTCGTTCGGTTTCGCCGACACGAGTGTTGATTTTTACTACGAGTGTCAGTATCTTTGCTATTAGAGAAATGGCTGCAATATCTTGAGACGGATGGAATGGAATACGGTATACGATAAAACATTTACGTTTACGTCGGTAAGCAACGACCTGTGGGATTAGCTACTATGGCAAATGTAGAGGCAAAATGAATTATTTATGGGCAGATCTCCTGTCCCTTAATCCACTCTTCGAATCGAACGTGTAACGTCATCAAACGGTGTCATATTGTATTAACTGTAACTGGAATTTTACGTTGTTCGTATAATTTTTTAATTTCCATATTATTGTTTGAAGCGTTGGGAAAACCCGTTATTCAGGTCACTACACTACACATGTACACTACAAAGAAATGGCCTGGTTTTTGACAAACTATAAGGTAATTTCTCAATAATCGGCCAATCGGCCAAAGTACTAATCGGCCCAACTCTACTATAAACCAATGTACAAAAGAAGACTTGTATTAAAATTAAACTACACATGCGCTGAAGGCGATGTTATTGTTGTCGGTGCAAAACATCTGGCAGAAATATAGCCCCACATCCATATGAGTTACATATATTATCTCTTATTTTGTTATGGTCTAAATTTGCTATCTCCCCTTTTTTATGAAATTAAAGGGACAATCGATCTTACAGTCTGACGGTAAGTGGCTGCTGCATTCAATGGTCACTTGCGATCTATTTTAAATAAGGGAAACTACGGATGGATTGTCACCTCTGAGGACTAAGGCGTGATGCCTCAATGGTTACTCTCTTCAGACTAGAACACAGCAATGCAGGCACTGCTGTGCGATCTTCCCAGAAGAACTACTAGGCAGAAAGAAGTCAGAGTTAGTTTCTTGTTCGGAAAAACTAGGTCACTTTAAATTTTGGGTAGAATGTGAGTTAAATGGATCCGGTGTTAAAAAAATCACCATCAGCTAATCTTTTCATAGCTCTTATAAGCCAGTGATTTTATACCACTCTCCTTATGGTATTAAATGAAGTAGGCACACTATCTTAGCGTATTTAAAGCCTATTCACTTTTGCCTTGAAAAGCCACATTGTAATCGGCTGATAAGACAGGTACTGGCAAATACCTTTCCTGTAAGCAATACGAATAGCTATCAGTGCTATTTAAGTCCTGATGCCATACGTCCTAGATACATTTTATAATTATTTTTTGTTATCAAAAGTTTTTCCTGTATCTAGCAACCATGTTGCTTATAATTACTGATGTTTCTAGATTTTTACTGAAAATCTTTCGATTAATATTATAAAAAAAATTGCAGAGCCATTTTAATTACGAGGATAGCGGATTCAAACATATGACTTTTAAGTTTATTAGTGTCACTTGGCTGGAATGTATCAGAAGTTATTAAGACGTTAATTAAAAACGGTTCGTCGAGTCTGTGTCGATAAATCCAGCAACATTCAGAATGTGTAACGAGCAATATGTCGCTTTGTGGAATAAAAAACACCAGCAGACGTCTGAACATGTGTGGCTTAGGAATTATGTGGTTAGTTAACGAGAAAAAATATCCACAATACGGAGTGGGATGGGGTCATGTTATACTACAATTCAGTAGATCTAGATATCTATCTTACTCTCGCTAGTTTGTTAGGTACAGTCGAAAACAAAAGTGATATATATTATATATAAGTTACGTTAGTTATGTCGCCGCTGCTAACAGAGATAGCTAATAGGATTTTTAGTCATTGGCAGACCTAGTCTGGTTTTAAAGATATATTTATTCTTTATTAAATATTAAAAGAAAATCAAGTAAAATTTTGAGAGTTAATTTAAAGGCATTTGATGTCGAAAGACATTGGGTGCGTTTGGCAGAAAAAAGCGCTAGCAAGCGCTTATAAGCGCTGAAATAGTTTTCGGCCAGGACACGATTCCTACTTCAGCAGCGCTGACACAATCCGCCATTTTGCTTATTTAATTTTTTTGTTTTGAAGTAGAGTTTATAAGTTGTTTTGTGCAATATTAGTTTTAAGTAATATAATGAATAAACATATACATGTTATTAAAAATTCATGATTGCTAAGTTTTTAATATGAATGCTTTACAAACATATATTTAAATTAGGTTAGGTTCCCACGTTAAAACTAACATCGTGTCCTGGAGGAAAATAGCTACTTATGATTTGACAGCGCTTACCGCTTACGATCGCCATTTTGCTTACAAGCGCTTGCTAGCGCTTTTTTCTGCCAAACGCAGCCATTAATTTATGTATGTGCAATTCAGGTAGAAATAAAGCTTATCCATAGATTACAAATAAACTTTTCACCAAGTTGTATTTTTTGTTATTGATTATATAAAATTATTACCGAGTAGTAGGTGTGTAGGAATATCCACTACCCCATATCGTTCCATGAGTGACGTAAAAGGCGGCAGAGAGAATCAAATGAGAAGATGGGCAATAGTCTTCCTAAATAGCAACTAAAAGATTTAAAGAAAAAAGATGTTGTCAACCAAACTGCGAAGCGTTGCTACTATGGCAAATTTCCTCCCAATTAGGCAATTTACAGGTTAGGTCTGTTTCTAGAATCGGACTTTTGGTATGCTGTAACAGTATTTAAAATTATTGTATTAAGTTTAGAAGGAAAAAAAGGTTTTACTAATCGGGTATACGAATAGAGTAGGGCGGGATTGCAAATGTGTAAAGGAATTCCTGAACAAAAATGCACGCTTCTACCTGGCTCGCGGGATGCTCCCCTCGCATCTCGTGCTCTAAGCATTCCGCCATTTTACCGCGTAAATTGATTACTTGGAAAATCTGAGAAAATCTCACTGTAACAGTGCGTAATGAGCGTCGCACCGCCGCATGTGAAATTGTGCCTTTTTTGCATTCCGACCATGCTACCCGCCTGCGATGCTCAGATACCACATTGTGGCTATAGCTTAATGTTTTCAAATCAGGTTTATTATTATAACATTTGTAAGGCTTTTTTATTCTTATTTATAGTACTGCAACTTGTCTACATTCTTACTTTAACATTAAAAATCGAAATAAAAAATTCGAAAAAAAGTTTGATATGTTAACCGTAACCTTTTTTGATAATTTTTTGAGAATATATTTATTTATACATAATTATATATTCATGTAAAGCAATAATTTTTTTATATCCCAGTAGGGGTTTTTCTTATTTCGGTGAATGATTCGCGCGATGAGGGCACGGGTCGAGGTCACAAGGGTCCGTTACGGGCGTCGGGCCTATTGCGACAGATGGCCGCGGTCCCGGCGGGAGGTGAAGACGGCTCTTCGGAGAGATCGACCTCCGAAATGCGTCCGAGATTGCATTCTTTCGGCGGCGCGGGCGCATTCCAACGCCGTAACTCCGCGCGCCCGCGCCAGTCGACGCGCGCCCTTTTGGGGGTTAAGATGTGTCCGTCGCGGCGGGCGCTCACTATGTGGTCCCAGCCGCTTCCCCCGGAACCCGAATTCGAACCAACGTTTCGTGCACGCGCCTCGACCGCCGACACGCACACCTGGTGCCGCGGCTGCTTCGGCGACCGGCAGATCGCCCGAATGGTCCGCGAGTACGGCGTCCGAGTCGATCCTACAACAACCCGGCCGCCCGGGCTACAAGTTCGTGACGAGCCCCAGTACCAGAATCTGGACGAGCTGCGCAAGCGTCCGGAGTACGCTAACCTAGACGAGATAAGCCGCGAGTACGGGTACCGCCTTTGCCCCGAAGGCCAGAATCTGGAGGATGAGGCGATCTACGAAAATATATTGTCAGTGCGTCAGATTCGTTCCGCCGAAGTGCGTTTGGTTCCGGTATCCGAAGTGGCGTACTACGAAGGTCAGGGTTACGTTGCGACCCAGGTTCTGAGCAGGAATGGCACCTTCCCCCAGTGTCCGCCGCATACTTGGAGTCGTTTGCAGCATGCTGAAAGACTTACGGGATCGTTGAGGCTGTTTACAGTAAATATTACTTTCAATTTCCCGGTTTAATTATTTCGCTTGATTTTCGTTTATGATAGTGAGGTTATTTAAAAAATGTTATCATGTACCTTTTAATTAAAAGATAATCTAAGATCTCTCTCTCTCTCTCTCTCTCTCTATTAACCATTTGAATCTAAAGCTGGACCTTACAAGCACTTTTTTAGAAAATAAAACCCAATTCAATGTACTCGTACCAAAATTTTACAATTTCTTTCATACAGAACAGGATATGTATATGTGTATTCTCCGTTGACTTTTTGCACGCATTCCTTACAAAAAGTCTTTGCTCATTGTATACCAATGTATTTATGTCCAACGCAAAAAAATAAGCAACGGAGTTTCGCTCTAATGACTTGTTAATTTTGGTAGTGACTCGATGAATTTCGTGCCGGCGCGTGAAACGTCGACCCGGCTGACCGAATGTGCTGATGTTTGACTTTTGGTCGACGTGCCCATAATTAATTATCGTCATTCACCTTCATAAATGATTATTTTTAAAGTATATAATATAATATAATACTGACTACAGCCTTGGTAACCCCTGAACCTGACCTTAAAGTTCATAGTACGTGGGATGGAATTCTGCATGAGTTCCGTCGCCGGCTTCGTTAAAATTGTTAATTGAAATTTTTTTAATATCATGAGGAAAACCTGGAATATTTCAGGTATTAAATATAAATATTCTGAGATGATTTGAGGTCTATTAACATGTACTGGAGCAGAGTGTCGGACTCTACATTGCATCAAAATCATCTTAGGAATGAGATGAAGAATTTGCTCCAAAGTTGCCCTTATATTATTTTTTATAAAAGTGGCTATAAAAAGGACATAGTTTTAAATCTACGTTTGTAGTTAGTGTTTATTCTTGCAAAGTACGAAATTATGGGTTCACGTACAAGTAAACTATTGAGCATAGGCCTTCCCCAAGGAATGCCAGAAATCAAATTATTGAGCCACCTGCATCCATCGACTCCCTGCATCTCTTACCAGGTCATGACTATCTTGCTGCCCAACCCTGCGCTTACTGGTATGAGGCTGCCACTCGAGAACCTTTCTTCCCCATCGGTAGTTGGTTTTTCGTGATGTTATTCTTCGAGGTCTAATTTGGAACAATTTAATTATTGATTTATTGATAATGAGTTAATCTTATTTCTTTTAAATATACGCATGATTAAGTATTAGAAAGATTTAAAACATATAATTAATTAGAAGTAAAGAATTTCATTAGCGTAATCTATTTGTACAAAAAAACATAAGATATTTAATGAACTATATTGGATCTAGTACGATTTTTATAGAATAAGGGTGACAAACGATCACACAGTCCACCTGATGGTAAGTGGATGCTGTGGCCCATAGACATCTACATTTTTCCAGCGTGGTCCTGCCCCCGTCGAGCAGACTCATTCGTGGTACAACCATAATATAGCTGCAGCGTGGCTTTACCACGTTTAAAATAGGAATCGGATATCTATAGCTTATTCTGCAAAATTTTAATATTTTGCAGAATAAGTAATAGTTGAAGCGAACACTACACATTGAAATAATACTAGTTTTTACGGAATTTATCGCGTATATTTAACTTTTTAAATACCCGACGTTTCGAGAGCTTTACAGCACCCATGGTCACGGAAAGGACTGAGATGTTCAACGTCCAGATGTCATAGTTAACCGCGGTTACCATAGATTAAAATTAAAATTTTGTTCCGATCTACACAGTATGAACTTATGGTATCTTGAAGTCTTGCAGTTGTATGCTTGGGTTGGGATTTAATTTTATTTATTATAGGATCCCAAGCAGATGGTAGCACCCAGCCATCTTCTCTATTGAAATTAGGATGTTTTTTGATTTCAATAGCCTCGCGAATCATCCTTTGAAGGAATCGGTGTTCTTTAGCGGGGATTTGTGGTCTATCAAATCTGATGTAGTGACGGGGGCGATCCTGTACGTGTTCACAGACTGCAGACTTCCCGGAGCGTCGATTCTTCACATCAGCTATATGTTCTTTAAGGCGGGTTTTAATTGATCTTTCAGGGTGTAAGGTGAATGTTTAGTTTGTCCTATGTAGGAGAGACCACATTCACAATCAAGCTTGTACACTCCTGAAAGATCAATTAAAACCCGCGTAAAAGATATATATAGCTGATGTGGAGAATCGACGCTCCGGGAAGTCAGCAGTCTGTGAACACGTACAGGATCGCCCACATCACTACATCAGATTTGATAGACCGCAAATCCTCGCTAAAGAACACCGATTCCTTCCAATGATGATTCGCGAGGCTATTGAAATCAAAAAACATTCTAATTTCAATAGAGAAGATGGCTGGGTGCTACCATCTGCTTGGGATCCTATAATAAATAAAATTAAATCCCAACCCAAGCATACAACTGCGAGACTTCATGATACCATAAGTTCATAGTGTGTAGATCGGAACAAAAGTTAAATTTTAATCTATGGTAACCGCGGTTAACTATGACATCTGGACGTTGAACATCTCAGTCCTTCCCGTGACCATGGGTGCTGTAAACCTCTCGAAACGTCGGGTATTTAAAAAGTTAAATATACGCGATAAATTCCGTAAAAACTAGTATTATTTCAATTAATAATTGAAGCTTTGACCTTACGGACAAGGTATCTTTAAAATATTTTGTATATCTCAATTAAAAAATATGGTGGGTAGGCTTCTTCAAAATGTTCTCCTTCCCTTAGGTAATAAATCTTCTTTCAACCCATCAGCACTTTCAAAGGTACCTGCACGGAGATCGAACTAAGATCGCTTGCGTAAGAAAGTAATCTCCCGGCTTCTAAACTACCATCGCTCATTAATATTATACTTGAACCGCTTTTTGTTCTTAAATAAATATATTTATTACATTTTTCCTTACATTTAGTGTGAAGTAGAATCACGTAATTCACACGTGGTTAATTGCTACTTAAACTACTTAAAACTTGACTTATTTTTCAAACTGAAATATTGTCTCTTCATTAAACATATTGTTCTCAAAAATTTCCATATGCCAAAAGTGCTGAATTTAGTATTTTCGCACGATTATTAAACATATTTCTACTACTTCTGGACTATTAAAAAGACATCACAGACTATACTGAGACACTTGAATGAAGTTTATGGTTAAATAATATTTAATATTTATTAAAAAAATTCTTACATTTAGTATGAAGTAGAATCACGTAATTCGAACGTGGTTAATTGTTACTTAAACTACTTAAGACTTGACTTATTTTTTCAAACTGAAATATTGTTTCTTCATTAAACATATTGTTTTTAAAAATTGCCATATGCGAAAAGTGCTGAATTTAGTCAATCTTCGCACGATGAATAAACATATTTGTACTACTTCTCGACTAAGTATTAAAAAGACATCAAAGACTATACTGAGATACATGTTATGAAGTTTATGGATAAATAATATTTAATATTTAAGACTCAAAAACAAGATCGTTTTTACCCACCAACGTAATTGGCGATGGTGGGTATCGTCTCTGCGTCATCATTATAGCCAGCAAAAAATTAATGATTAATAATAAAATTAATCTCAAAACAAGATTTCGTCCGTACTTAGCACAACCATATTTTGTCTGGTATCCACGTTAATTGCTCTGGAAAATTTTATAGTGTTGTCTAATAATTATGATTAAATCAGTATAAAAAAAGGAGTTTGATAATGTGTTGCTTATATATATTATATATATATATATATATATATATATATATATATATATATATATATATATATATATATACTACCATTTTTTCCTTTTCCCATTTGCTTTTTTTCACTATTCCGCCGTAAGGGGATCACTGTCGTAAGATATAATAAAGGGAAAAGGAACAGTAGCATCTTCTTGATAATAACTCAAAATAATAAAAACTGCGTTTGCCGGTCGACCTGCAAAGTTTAGCAACTATGGTAAAAAGGCCGTTTTCATTAATTAAAAATAAACAAACAGAAGTTTTTTAAGCTGTTATTATATGTATTATGATTAGCTCTACCAGCTATGTTCTTTTGTACTTCAGTACGCATTGCCTGATAACATCAGATTCACATTTAATTAAATCAAAATAATAACATAATTTACGATAAATGTTTTTGGTCGATATAAATTGTGTTATACATACATAGAACGTATATTTCAAATAAATTATTTTATTTAAATTCATTTCATATATTTCGCAGTATTTCAATAAATACACGGATACTTATATTGTGAAGAAATTATATCTTTTTTATTATAGAGAAAAGGTGACAAACAAGTACATAGTCCCTCTGGATTAAGAATAAAAATGCATATGTGTTGTCACCCATGAGGACTAAAATGGAATGCCTCGTTTTTAGCAAAAAGGTTCTCCAGTTTTCAATATTTGCCACACGATACACGGCAGCATTAAGCTGCTATTTCACGCTGGTATTCTGTGAGAGCGTGGTCTTTTCCGGGTCGAGTCGACCTCTTCGTGCTGCAACCACAGTATAGCTGCATCATGTCTCTACCACGTTAAATAATATGTATACAGTTATATTTTTTGTTAACTTGTCATATGGTAGAGCTGTGCTGCAACTATATTATAGCTTACTATCACATGGACTATGTGCTCGTTTGTTAACCTTAGCTTATAAAAAAATCATAATGCACTTTTACCATCATCCCATTTTAATTTTATTGCTTAAAATTGGGATTTCTTCCACTTTTAAACTATCTGACTATATCATATTTTACCATTATATTCCCATATTGTGCCGTATTAAGTAATTAACATATTTTAGTTAAAGAATCTTTTCCATTGTCAACAGGCCAAGAGGGAGATGTACGATGTCAAGAAGCAGAGGCTGTGCCTCGCTCAAGACGAGTACAAACACTTGAACAACGCCCTATCTACCCTCGCTGCGTCCAGGACGAGCTGTGAGTATCAAACTAATGCAGTGTGTCATTGCTATTGCAAGTTTTTACCATACGGAAAAAATTTAAAATTGTTAAATAAGCAACTTGCTTATGTTTACTCTAAGGTATATCCATAGTAATTAAATAGTCTTATGGTATTTTGTGTTTATAAGCAGTTAAAATAAGTACCTGTTTTTGGGGAAGTAGATGGGCTGTATCCAGGTACACGCAACAGCTCAACAAGGAGAGTTAATAATTATATTCCATTCAGCATTTCGTATGATAGCGGCGTCTAAGTAAATTGCATTATGAAATCATCGTAGTGTATTGATTTATTATAATAATGAATCAGGATGCATTTAATAATTACGCCGACGCGTGATGGAATTCAGCTACGCAAAGATATGTCAGACGTTGCGCACAGTACTCGGAAGAATGTAGAATTAAGTGGATTTGCAAGTTTATAGTGTGATACAGAAGGAAAACCGTAAGATTCTTATCAAATAGTTAAAATAATTTAATAACGCATTACGACTACGTTATGGAAATTTAATAAAGAAATTCAAGGCTTTCATGTACGTAAAGGAAATATTGAGAACTTTGAAGCTTTAAAAGCTAACGTAAAATTATTAGTCGAATAAAACGAAAATGGAGGCTAAGCTGACGACTTATGTATCACTTTTAATTTCGTTTACTATAAAAATCATTTTCTGTCTCGAATACGCGTCATTTATGATTTAAAAACATTAACACGTCCTACGCTAGTGTTAAAGCACACACGGCTTCTCTTATGGAAAGTTATGGAGCGTAGTCCGCCACATTGCTTTCGCTAACGCGGATTTTATTTCTTATAATGCATTTAATCGCGCAACATGCCATTTTAATCGAGTTTAAAAAGATGAGATTCGTCGCGAATATTTTTTATGTTTGATCACTAATTTCTCGCACAAGGCTGAAACGATTGTTAAATTATTTTTTGAACTCGGTTCTTCTTTTTATTAAAATTTTAATTATTCTATATTTTAGCCTTTTTCTTTCACTTCTTTGCTTGTAAAAACTGCGGACTTAAACTTTCGTTCTAAGGTGGCTGGTGGTGGAATTTCAAGGGCTGCAAAATTTAATGCCCTAGAACCAATTTAGATATTTTTTTGCTATTTAATGATATTTTACGAGTAGAATTACATTCAATAGTTTCCTTCGTGTAGTGGCAGCGTAGGAGAATCCACTACTCCATATCGAGCCGTGCGTGTCGTAAGAGACCACAGAGGGAATGAAACAGGAGTAGCATTTTCCTATACCTTGAAAATAAATCGTAGTTTTGGGGGCGTGGCTTATTCCTTTGTCGGTGAAGCTAACGAACGACTGAAGGAGTGTCAAAATGAAAGTGATGCAATGACTTCATAGTACGCAAATTATAAGAAGATAGCTATACCGAGCACACGCTCGGAAAAAACTAAGTAAGCGCCAAACAACATTTTTTTTAACACAACTACGTTATAGATAAAAAAATGGTTTATGAGAACTTAGATATGATTAAAAATATTTTCATGAACTTATTCGTAAAATAATTGTGGTGTCATGAAGAAATGTAACTAATTAGAGTCTACTTTGCAATTTTTTTTTCTATTGAGAAAATTACATGATATCGTGTTTTCCTTTTATGCAATCCAAGGTCATATAGTCAAAAATCATATACCAAAATATTGGTTTGTAATCTATAATACTTAAAAAATATGTGAAATAGAAAAACCACCAAATTTTCGAGTTATCACCATAAAATTATTAAAAAAAAAAATGCGGTTGCTGAGCTGCTTGCTAAACGTGGTAACTAAGGAACATATCCCCCTTATGAATCTTTGGAGGAGGGCTGTGTTCATCAGTGAACTTTTGACTGTAATGGATGAAAGCAATGGAATTATTTTTCAGTATGAAAAGGGCCTCAAGTGTGACTGAACCGGCCAGGTGAGCTGGGGCGCCATTAACAATCCCTTACTGTAGTAGTTAAAAAATAATCTTTATTACAAGTTTTAAAAAGCATACAGAAATGATTTCTTGAATAATACGGTTCTTAGAAAAGAGGCCTAGATTACAATCTCCGCATTTCGCAGTTTTTGCATTCATCGTTGTAGTTTTATAGCGTATTATGAGAGGAAATAGGAAACTATGAATGCTTCCTGTGCCACGCACATTGTTTCTTGTTGCGAAAAAATATGTCAAGACTGCTATTAGTTCAGGGAAATTGTGTATAAGTATAGAATAGAAAGTTGTGTCTATGTTACAAATGTAAGTATAATTGAAAGTGAATTGTATCAATCAACATGTTTGTATACTTCGAAATTATATAGTCTTTTAATAATAAATTTATACTTTTTTTAAATATATTTCTATACTCACTTATAATGCTATAAAGAGATAAAATTTGTTTATTTGTAGGGGCTAATCCTTTTATTACCTAGAACTTCTGAACCGATTCTCAAAATTCTTTCAATAATAGGGAGCTATGACGTTATTTCTCGGTAACAGGCTATATTTTATTTTGATAAATATAAGTTATCAGTTCGTAACCTCAATTTTTGTAATCAATATGCGCTGACCTAAGGGTGCTACCACACCAATCAATCGACGATCAATGGCATCGATCGACGATCGATCGATGTTGATATAATGGGGTAGTGCCTTTAGCTGATCTATGGATACTGGTCGGTAAAATGTTGTTCAATCATCGATCGAATTCGATCGACAATGAATCTATGTGGTTGTGCGCTCAACATCAGAATCTTTCAAAGGGTATTCTGAAGAGGTAACGCGTCCTCTTCTGTTGGCTTCTACCCTCTTACTCGTATTATTATTAAGGAGACGCAAAAGAAGACTCTGGATGCGACAGTTTTTTTTAGGCCAGAGAAAGCTTAAATTCATCTAGACAACATTTTGAATAGAGGTCCGTGGAGCGGGGCGGGTACTCGAATAGTCAAGCACCTCGATCGACGTCGACTAATCCACCATCGATCGATCGATTGGTGTGGTAACACCCTAACTGTTGCATAAACCTACGTAAATAGTTCCTAAGTTCATACTGTAAAAATCTCCACACCCATTATTTAATATTTCGGTTCATATTTGTGTGATGTGTCGATGGATGCAGGTGTCATGGTATCTTACTTTGTGACAATCTGGAGTGGCCTGTGTTCAGCAGTAGATTTGTGATGGGCTATAGTGATAGTATGATAATGTAAATATTAGTTTGATAGATAGTTGTTATACGTACATATTATAACCTTAAGGGGAAATATAACCTCAAATGGCTTAGCAAGATCCTCCGTTATGCTGAAAATATTGCCGCATTCATTTTATAAATATATGGTACAGTTGAGGATTACTGTTAAGGATTATGTTAGACGAAAACACGATTCCGTAAAATTTTCTCGATAGAAAAAAAAATCCAAAGTTACCTCCAAAATAAACAATAAACCGCTGTTATTCATAAAATACTTTAAATAAGATCATGAAACTTTGCATACTAACTGAACTAACTATAAAGCAGTGCTTATGTTATTTACCTTTTTTAAAATACCAGTATTTAAGCGTGATTCCTACCGCCCGGCGCCCGGTCAGTTTCGCTTCGGCCTTTGAAGGGGGAGGTTGTGTCGCTTACGATCAGAATACACATTACGAAACAGGACGACGTAAAATTAAAATGGGAAATAACCGTAATAAAAATAAGAAGCGACTGGCTTGGCGTTAAGAACCAGGCATAAATATGATAAACCTAATGAAATAAGTGTCTAACGACCTATCTACTTACAGTATTTGTGATTACAAATATGTCGGTACATAGCAAACTCGATGCGGGGAAGTGGGGGCGAAATTAGAATTTGAGCTGACTTACTATATCCCCTTAAACCGTGGTAAATCTGTAAATATCACAGTACCCAAGCAACCCGGGTTAGAACGCCGCCGGCACCAGTTGAAATTTTTACTTACAATTTTAAGTGCTGTTTGACCACGTGCACTGCGATGAAGGAAAATATCTCGAGGAAACCTGCATGACATATTTAAAAAAAATATTTCGAAGACATTTGAAGTGCACCAACACGCATAGGGGCATCGCGACAGACTTTTTCTAGCCCTGGAATATTCTCAGAAATGAGTGGGGGGGGGGAGGTAGTCCGTTCTCAGGATTGAAATGTAGTAAGCTGTAACTTTAACTTTATACGTACATATACTTACTTATATACTACAGTACCTAATCCACAAACGTGAGTGAACAACTACATGGATTGAAAATAGTATTTCACTTGAGAGGAACCGCGGGTAGCAGCTAGTTTCGCATAATTTTGAATTGTAAATTGGCTGCCAAAGCAAGTCCACCAAACTTTGCAATAATGGCAAATTATCTCGACAAAAGTCTATGCACAGCAGTAGGTTACTTATAACAAGATCATTCTGGTGGTATTCGACACTTATACGACAACTTATTAAAAATTAAAATGACAAACCCACACCACAGACGCGTTATCTTTGAGTTCTAAGAATGTCTCGTAACACGTGGTTATACTGGCGGAGAAACCCTTCATATCGGAACAAACCTTGATATCTATTCAGACAAACTCCTAACAGTAAAGGTAGCATACCACTTATTAATCTATCAGCAGTTAAACAGCAGGTGGATGTCCAATACACAAAATACTGGTAATAAATTCAACTATTATCGTTATTAGTAACCACACAATAAAAGAAACATAAACCATCGACAAACGATGTTCTCTCCGGCCATCACTAACATCAAATGAAACTCCGCTACGTCATTTATGATTCCATTTGAATTAAAGTCGCCTAACTTATTTAAATGGCAAAATCAATTTACGCTTACATCTAGCGCCGGATTAAAGCATAACTCTTGCGCTATCTCAATACAAACTTCGTTACGAACTCAACGCAGGTCGGACTAGATTATAAATTGTAATCAACAAAGGTTCTAAACACATTATGCTTGCAAATAGTGACGTTCTAAAACAGGTATACATAGTTGTTTAAATCGTTTTAATTTTCCACGTGTTTTGTATTGTTCTAGAATTAAGAGGAGAATGTATATTCTTTTCAATACGAATGTAACGTTTGCGTAATGTATTTCGTTTATAAAGTATTTGCTTTGCTGTAAATTGTTGAAGAAGATAGTAAAAAGTCACATTCCAACATGTTTCACACTTGGGCATAAACCGTCTCCTATTTCTTAGGTTTTGGAGCATAGAAAGCCTGAGTCATCCCTATACATCACACATTATAGAAATATTTGTAATTTCTCCAGCATATGGTAAATCGGCACTAAACTTTGCAAATAACAATTTTGTTGATGTCAGTGGAGGTCGACTCAGTTCGCTGGCGAACAAAGTATTAAATGTATTAAAAAATATATATTATTTGAACTCAGATTGGTAGATACTTTGAAATGAAATGTCCCTACCAACAAACATATCGCAGGATCTGTAGAAATCGATTTCTATTTATTTCGACGTCACTAAGCGTTGAAGACGTTGTTTTTTTTTATTTTTTTTTTTACATCGAGTATGATAAAAATAAAAAGTAATTCCAAGAAAGTAGTACCGACACCGAGGTTTTCAAGCTGCACTCCGCGTTGTTTCTTTTTAAATTCCGAAGTTGCGTACGGTAATTGCATTTTGCATGGTTCAATCATACTACTAATAACAGGACTACGGTACAGGGTTGTTAATTCTTATATTTTATTGAAATTACATTAATAGGGAATATTTTTCTTTGTTTTTCATAAAGATCTTGAAATAACAAAGATTGTATCGCCTTACACTTTATATACAACTTTTACCGTTATCGTTACAGCTTATCGAAAGTCCCCTGCTATATGCTGTATACTGCCTCCGCTACAGATTTTCCATAGCTGCCAGGTGTGTTAGCAATAGGAAGATTCTGCTGCCCATCTCCTGATTTGTTTTCTTCTGACGCCTATTACGACACTCATGGAACGTATTGGAGTAGTGATATTCTTACACCGCTACTAAAAGGTCGGCCGCATTTACAACGTTTTACATTAATAACATTGCTGGGTCCTGATAACTCAAGAGTTGGGCACTCGCTTTAGAATTTCATTGTGTGCGCGAACATTTTTAATTAAAATATATTTTATTTTAGTTACATTAAAGCAAATTAATAGGTTAATTGATGATAAATAAAATTCCCACAGTGTGCTCGTCAACGACGTCTATGACGACTACGTCGACGACGTCACGTCATGACCCAGATGTACTTCGTGCGGAGGTGTCACAGGCGAGAGGTAGAGTCGCGCAACTTCGTAAGGAGTTGCGACAGGCGCGGGCAGAAGTAGCCAGCGCTCGCCGTGGTGTCGATACCCTCGCCGAGTAAGTATAATGAGTTTATGTTCTCCTGGTCAAAAGAACTACAGCGATGAACAAAATTTACCAGCAACTGTACAGCCCATAATGATAATGCCACAAGTAAATATGCAAGTAAGAGGTAGAGGAGGAGCAAAAAGTACACTGCTGAATATGAGGGAGTCAGTCAATCCGCCAAGCCGATTGACAGACCGCAGTATCGCCTGGTTGATATAAGATGATTATACCGTCATCTCTCGGAAGCCATAGGATCTTTTTGACATTTTCCGTAGTCTCCTGTTACCCGACACCAACGGGACGAAACAAAATGGAGTTATGTGATGGATACTGAGGCTGAGGATTGAACGCCGACGCTATCACATCGGAGGAAAGCTTGGATGCAGTATGCAGTGTACACGACAATAACGGCAGTACCTTCAGAACTGAAAGCAACTTTTGCTTATTGGTTCCAATTGAGATTAGAACTTAGGATACTTTAGGAGCTGACTAAGTTAACCTGACAAAGTGGCTCTGTTAAGAATGTGAAAGTTTTTTTCTTATTTCTTATTCAAATTAATTTATTATCGTTTTCAGAGTGGAGCAAAAACTAAGCGCGCAACAGGGTTGCTATAATATCACTGAAGCCCAGGCTATCATGACTGAGCTGAAAAATATTCAAAAATCCCTAACCTCCGGCGAAAAAGAAAAAGCCGATCTAATGCAGTCATTAGCCAAGCTCAAAGATGACCTTACGCGACTGCAGTTGGGAGAAGCCTCCCCAGACCTCTCAACCCTGAGTCTTCCTCAAGAGAAACTAAGCACTGCCTCACAAACCGATTTATGCGCCGACTTAGTTCCAATCGGTACCAGGTTAGCAGAAATGGCGCGGGTACGCCTACAATATGACGAAGCTAGGAAACGAATACAGCAAATCCAGCAACAGCTAGCCGATCTAGAAGATAAAGTGCAACCAGGACAAGCGGAATCCGACAAGGACCGTCTCCTGTTATTTCAGGAAAAGGAGCAGTTGTTAAGGGAACTAAGGAGTATAACTCCAAGGACGAGATCGAAGCAAGAGATGAGCGACATTCAAACGGAGTGCAAGAAACTCGAGCAGGACTTGAAGAATGCCTTCGAAATGTCGAACAAATGTATAGCGGATAGACTGAAACTACATGAAGAGAAGCAGTTGTTACTTCAGCAGTTGAAAGACGCGTTAACTTCTATGACGACTCTAGAAGGACAACTGAAGACTCTGTCAGCAAGTACTCTGTCAGTCTCGAGTAGTTCGAGCTTAGGATCTTTATCTACAGCGAGTAGTAAAGGGTCCTTGAGTTCGGGGATAAGTTTCACGGATATCTATGGAGGACCACAGATAGCGAGTTCATTACAAACCGACAAGCCTATCGATATGGTTGATCTGCACAGGAGAGTAGAAAGGTAAGTTTTTATTTTATTTATGTTCAGCAATATAATATTCTTGTCAATTTTTTATAATTTATCTAAATAATAGATTTTAAAATATGCTGAAACATTAATAAGCGATATATATAGCCGCGTAGTTTCAGTGTAATGTTATCCATATCACAATCTAAGAGTAGCTGGACTGTGACCATATCATCCCATGGGTTTCGTGATAGGGAGAATAAAGAGCAGCAGTATCTGCCTGATAAAAATTCAAAGTAGGTAACAAAATGATGATGAAACGAACGTTCGAACGTGCAAATTTTCTTATCTAACAACAAACTGATTTGATATGTAGTGAATGCTTATTCGCCTTTTTTGTTCGCCTTTTGTAGCTTAGACTTATACTCTAAAAGCTTAAGCTAAATATAACATAATAAAAAATATAAATTAAACAAAAATTGCATTATGTGTTAATATTAATTTAATTTTCGATAATTGCTCAGAAGTTATCAGTAGTATTTTTTTTTTATAATGTAATATCTCAACTTGATACTACTCGCAGGCTACTCCGAGGTACAAGCTACAACGCAGACAGCATAACCCCAGGAACAAGCAGTTCTCCGTCCCAGCCCTCGTTATCGCCAAGAAGCAGCCTTTCTTCTGCCAGCCCACCACCTCCGCCTCCGTCTTACAACCAGGTATGCTACCATGTTACTTACTCGTATTTATAATGTATTCTAATATAATTATTTCAGTATTATCCTAGTTTATCTAGGCTTTTGAGGCCTTAGAAGTTATTGACGGCATAAATTAATACTGTTTGTGGATATTGCTACGTACTAGCGATAGATCCGAGACATTTAGATAATATGTGTGGTCCCTAAAATTCCCCTCTTCCTCGTACTTAGTCATTTGGCAGTTTGAATTAATGGCAAATAAGTGGGAAAATAAAGCAAGAGACAATTTAAATAGTACTGATTTGATGAATTTGCAGGTCGAAAGACAAAGGCGGCAGCAGAGAGAGCTGGAGGAGAAGTTAGCCGAAATGAGGATAGGAGTCGCCACGGGGCTCAATGAAGTTACAGGACTTGCCACAAGTGAGAATTACTATTGATAATTTTAATAAATTTCTTCTTTTATTAAGCTCTTAGAAATTAAATTAAAGCTTTTGCAGAGCCGAGTTCTAGTGTTTAAGAAAATCCTTGATATCAAATTTTCTCGTGGGTGACCTGGGATTCCACTGGGGGGTAAGAAGGACTTGTTCCGATTACAATATAATTGCTTGAAAAAAGTTGAAGCACCCATATTGTAATCGGAAAGAAGAGTGAATAGGCATTTAATAATCAAAGCCAGTACGCCTTACCATCTTCTGATACTTCACCATCAGGATGGATAAGTTAATAAGTGCAGTCAAGATCAGTCGTAAACTGGTTTGTAATAGTTAAAAGAAGACCTTATCAAGCTGTACAAACGTGTTCCTCGAGGAAGGACCGCAATCGCACAAAACTTTTAGTGTCAATTAGAAGCATTGGTACTGTGTTTCGTATGAGTAAGCGAAACCGTAGACCCTTTTTACTGGCAACGAGGCATTCCGTCAGTCCTTAGGGGCGACAACGTAACGAAAATTTGATTCCTAATCGAGGATAAATAGTTTAGTAGATGTCTATGGGCCACAGCATTCACTTATCGTCCGGTGAGCAAAATTCTACAAAACAATAATGAGAGTTTTAAATCTAATATACAAAAATTAATGTTTGTTTGTTCGTATTTTATGCGCTGCCATACCGTTCATGAGATGCGGTAAAATTTTGTCAACTTATTGTTTGTACTTGCGCGTCCTTTGTTGTTGCGGCATAGTGCACTTAACACTAGGTAGCGCGCGTATCGTAACGGCAAATTTATTTGAAAGTTGTATATCATTAAATTTCAATGAATGTTGTCGTCATTGCTAATTAAACAATTTAACCCTTCCAAATTTAAAACGATATTTCCATAATTATTTATTCTGCGGCAGCTACGCGTCGGGTACAAGCTAGTTATAAATTCATTTTAAGGGCTTGTTTTATTCCACAGTCCCAGTACAACTGCAAGGCCCAGGGCGGCCTTGTGAGCCTTTATCGCCCATATCGGAAACACCACCGCCACCACTCTCTCCTAGAACTCCCTCTTCTAGTGGTAAGTAACCTTTTTATCATATAATCTACGAACCAACTTCATTAAAATTACTACCGACAAGTGGCGGCATAAGCCACTACCCGTAGTCACTCCGTGGGTGTCGTAAGAGGCGACGAATAGAAATGAATCAGGATATGGGCGGAAGCATTTCTTGATAACAGCTCAAAAGAATTAAAAACCGCGGTGCCTAACGCGCTTGTCGAGCGTGGTAAGAATGGTGAATATGAAATGAGGCCTGAGGATGTTTATGGGTATAATAGGCTATGTTGTAACTATATTTTCGTTGTAGACGAATGGTTATTTAATAGTTAATCGGTGTGTATCTTCGTCATTTTCGAAAATTCCTGCGTTATATGTAGTAGAGCCATGCTACAACAGGAGTGGTTACACTACGAATGGGTCGGCTTGACCGGTGAAGGGTCATGTTCAAAGCGTAAAATAGCTGCATAATGCATGTGTTTCGTTTCGTATATTTGAATGGAACCGGAGGCCCTTTTTACTGGTATCGTGTCATTCTTAGTCCTCCGGAGTGACAACGCATCTGCATTTCGATGCTTAGTCGCGGATAGATAGGGGAACAAAGGATTGTGTGCTCCTTTGTTACCCCCTACTCTATATAAAAAAACAACTACTTGTGTGTAAAACACCTCTACGGTAAAAGATCACAAGAGTCGTTTATAAATATAACTAGAGATGACCTGTATACACTATAAAATGTTTCCATTGTTTGTCTTGCAGGTACAAATACTAGATCAGTGTCAGCTGCAGTGAGTGACGAGTCGGTGGCGGGAGACTCTGGTGTGTTTGAGGCGGCGCAAGGCGGTGACGCTTCTAACGCAGGTCGGTTGTGCTTTATGTCCTTTTATTTGAGTTCATTTTGCTTTATTTTATGGGCTGATTAAGGTGCGTACACGCCTTCGGAGAATCCTATGTCTTATGGATGATAGATGAGTATACAAAGGGCTTAATCTTTTTAAAAGGCCGACAACGCATCGGCAATTCCCCTGCTGTTGCAATTGTTCACAGGCGGCGGTAGTCACTTATCACCGGGTGAGTCGTATACTCGTTTGCCCCCTCTTATACAAAACGAATTCTGTCTCTGATTGGTAAGTGGACGTCGTGGCCTATAGACACCTGAATCAGGATGAAATGAGGCTGAACAATGCATCTCGCATTGTTCTACCTTAAGGAATTACATGCTATACATCGTTACCAGTAAAAAAAGTCTTCAGTTCACATCACCAATCGTATGAAATATAACAGTTATATGCTGATATTCTGCGCTGGTACTCCATGCTTTGTGGTATTCCTTGGAGGAGGCCTATTTTCAGCAGTGGACTTGTGAAGGGCTGTAATGATGGTGTTGATGACTCCATGCGTCATTCGCCGTTTGGGCAAGCCATGATCGAGCTATATATATATAAATTACCTAACGCAGCGACTGGTAACAACATTGAACAGCAGATGATTACGTGCTGGTATAAAGAAGAAGATGCCTACCATGAAATTCAGAACTTAAAATAAAGCAATGTAAAGAAAATATTAATTATATAATAAGATTCTAGAATGTTATAATTAATTTAAAATAATGGCCCTGAAAGTGTTTTATAAGAATTTACATAATAAAATATATTACATTTACATTGTTAGTATAAATACTATATTTGTAAATCTAGGAACACATCGATCAATATTTTAAGATTATATTATATAATTATTTCCCTCTAAATACTTTTACCCCAGCTTATATACCTGGACCATATATCCTATTACCATTTTGGAAAGCATTGTTCTTAAAGGTTGTACAAAATTAAATAAAGGTTACCGTCTACGCAGCTGTCTCGCTCCTTCCGGGCAGAACTTACACTCGGCATTTGTAATATTAAAAAAAAATCGCAGTTTCAATATGATATTTTCGTTTCGTTGTTACAGTTAACAGTGCACAAATTGAAATCAAATTGCGCTACTGTCCCGACGAGAGTGCGTTAGAGATTGGAATCTTGAGGGCGCGGAATTTGCACGCGTTGTACATCGACATGGGCACCGAGGTGTAAGTGTACCTTTGATTAGTAGCAATTTGCCTATTTTCAAGGCTTTTCACGCATTTTTAATGTATGTTACGTAGTGCAACATAACGTTCTAATAAATACAATTTTGGTGGTTGGCACGTCATAGATACATGTCGGAAAATGACAAAAAAATAGCCTATTGGCTCAAGTAACTAACAGAAGGGATTGACAGCTTGTCCAGTACAAGGTTAAAAAAAAAAAAAAAAGGTTAAGCGAAGTATAGCTTGGCGTCCCACTAGATGGATTGATGACCTGGTATTACATACAAGAAGTTGATGGATAACCCAAATGCCCAAAGACTTCTATTTATAGTACTGGACGGGCACTACGGTACTAATACATTGCGCAATAAGTTAAGGTCAATTTTCCATAACTCCCTATAGTCTATTGCGAGCAGGTGAGATGACTAGTTCTTTTGTGAACCGCAAACTTTGTTTTTAATAATCCAGCACGGATTTTATTTAAAAACAGTAACTGTGGTAAATGAACCGCCTGCCACGATCCAAAACTGACACATTTTTTTTTCTGAATTGTCGGTCTAGTAGCATACATAAAAGTAGAAGTAAAAATACAAGTGTTTGGTGGCATATGTACGACGTTACAATGAGTTTAATAATCAATTTTAATAGTATAAGTCATGTTGCGGTCTGTAACAGTGCGGTGCGAGGTGCGCTAGTGGTGGGCGGCGGCGGCGGCGTGGCGTTCAGCACTGCAGCGCTTGCGTGGCGAGGCGCAGCGCTAGCCTGGCGTCGGGTGCAGCGGGCTGCACTAGGCCCGCGAGCGCTGCGAGCCGCTACCTTGCAGCTGAACCTTGCCGCAGGCGCCGAATGCTTGGTGAGTGCATACCGCTCCCAACTGCTGCTCTCCTAGTACATTTTTTTATAGGACAGGGTGACAAACGAGCACACAGTCAACCTGATGGTAAGTGGTTGCTGTGGCCCACAGACATCTACATCTGTCCTCAAATACGAATCAAAATGCAGATGCGTTGTTACCCGTGAGGATTAAGATGGAATGCCTCGTTTCCAGCAAAAAGGGCCTCCGGTTCTTTACACTCACCATACAAAACACAGCAGCGTTAAGCTGCTGTCGAGCCGACTCATTCGTGCTACAGCTATACTACAAATATAGCTGCAGCATGTCTCCACCACCACGTAATTATGTAAGTAGTACTGAATGTCATTTCCTGCTGCGTTGGTAATTACCGTACTTTCGGTATAGGTTGGTATTATGTACTGTGCTGTTTCTTTGAGCAACAAGCTTTGTGAGTATGTTATATAGCTTTCGATCTTCTGCTGCTCTCCTATACCAGGAGCATTATGCAATGTTCGGCATGGTGGCGTTAGCCTGACGCCGTGTGCAGCTTAAGCTTGCTGCTGGCGCCGAGTGCTTAATGAACACCCCTCTCCACTGCTGCTCTCCTGGTATATTATTCAGATGCTCGAAACATTAAAGGGAGAGGAAGTTGGCTACCTCTAATAGTAAATACAGTTTACTCCAATCGTTCTACCAGTTCTCGGAAGCCATTAGATTTTTCTGGCATTTTCCCATAGTTTTCTCTTGCAACACCCTTCCACGGCATGAAATGGGGTGATGGATGCTTTGATAAATATATTTTATATCGGTTTCTTGATCAAATATTTTGTTCAGCTCACGTAAAGCCACTGTCTGCTTCGACTGCTCCCCTAGTAAACTATAGGGCAGAATATAGTTTTAGATCAAATTCATCATTAAAAACCCTTATGATGACAACTAGCCAAATTCGAGTATTCGGCGTAGAGCCTTGAGTGCCATGTGAACATCCCATAAGGCGAGAGCGATCATTTACTGAACTGTTCTCTTCACAATGACAATTAACTCCAAACTTTCCAACATTAAGGGTCAAATTTCTTTACAGGGTTGCGCACAAGTCAGCTTGGCAGACTTTGACCCAGATACTGTATCCCAAAAGTGGTATAACGTGCTCAGTTTCCGAAGTATGAGGCGGGACGAGAGTTCAGATGAATCCACAGTCATTTCTTCGCAAACGTCAACACTCACAAGAAATAGAGGTAAGTGATATATCTAGAACATAAGATGCCATAACGTTTAATTGTTGACGTAACTAGATAAACAATGCTAAGTATTTTAAGATAGCTAAAAAAAGGGAGGTGCTCTATTCAATTGTATGTTTTATTTGTGAATGTCACGCAATATATTCGTCAATCAGGGCATGCCACAAGGGCATCGCCTACGAATGGGTTGAAATATTTGATAGATTTCATATCGGAAGAAGTTTATTTGTTAGGAAATTGTAGAAATTAAGGTTTCTTTCTAAAATATTACATATTTTATATTGATTAGATAAAAATGGATAAACCAAACTGTGTAAATTATTAAAAGTAGACGAATTAAAAAAAAATTAAAAATGTTGAAAATATAAAATAATACAGCTTCGAGGCATTATTTTGTGTACATACATACACCAGAAACCGCAAAACTTAATTAAAATCTCAACTTTTCAATGACGATGTCACTGTTTGACCGTATACGTAACAAATGAGCTGACCTTAGTAAAATTATTATTTCTTCTTTGTAAACCGTTCTTATACGCCTTCATTGTAAACCGATTTTTTTTTCACAAAATGGTCATATTTCAAGAGTATATAATTAAATTCCATGTAAATTTGGAGAAAATTTCCACCACTAACATATTAGTTTGTTACCTTGAGATTGTGATATTTCAGAGTCCACTTAAAAGGGTCAAAACTACTAAACAATCAATAGTTATTTTAGTTCCTTGGTTTCCTTCCTTTTTATTTTTTGTTTAAAGTTATATTTTTTATATTTTAGCGTAGCGCTAGACAAATGTAGTTGACACAGTGATCCTTAATTAACTTTCTGACCACTTGTTTTTACTTGAGTTTAATACTACTGTTATTTGTTTCAAAGGTCCTGAGAGTATGACCGGAGCGGATTGCAACATTGATTGTGGAGACAATTCTGCATCAGAGGACGAAGAACCTCGAGAACCACTTAATCAGGTACCATTTGCAAAATCATAATTGTAAAGAAAGCAAGATTTTTGGTAGTAAATACAAAAATAATGAAAAATAAAATTTAACTTCTTATATATTTCGCAGATAGTGGAAGAGGATTCTTTTGAGGATTACATTCCTGAGGAAGACATAGCTTTGGAAGAAGAGGAAGAATATCTACACCCCACCACTGCGGAAAAGGAGACGAATACCGAGTGTAACTTCTGCCCGGAAGGAGCGAGACAGCTGCGTAGACGGTAAGCTTCATTTAATTTTGTACGAGCTTTAAGAACAATGCTTTTTAAAATGGTGATGTGTATATAGAAAATGGGTATATGGTTCAGGTATATAAGCTGGGGTAAAAGTAGTTAGGATTATGTATAATCTTGGTCGATGTGTTCCTAGATTTATAAATATAGGATTTAATAAACATGTATATGTCATAGATTGTATTATGTAAATTTTTATAAAACACTTTCGGGGCAATTATTTTCATTTAATTATAACATTTTAGTATCTTGGCAACATAAGTTATGCGTACAAACAGAAGTACATTACGTGTTTCATTTAATCTATATTATATTAGGTTTGTTATGTCATTATAATTATAGTCTCTTTGTAACATAGGTCTCTTGTAATATGTCATTTTAATGCATCGTGCTTATATAGCATTCTCTACAATATAATAAAACCACTGATCGACAAAATATAGATTATTTAAAGAACGAAGAGCACTCAGGTTATTTTTTACTTCCACCAGATACTTAAAATGCTTGAGGAGAGTGGAGGCCGACGGGAGGCCTCAAGAAGAGACTGCATTAGAGAAATTATAATAAACCGTCCAAAATTCATAATTGTACATAGCTTATTTAAATATATGTAGGTATTGTTTACATTGTGACGCTAGCTATGTTGACTAATAACATTTTGCTTTTAATTTGTTGCTAGTGGCTCTAACATAGAGATAATTGCACATGCACTATAGACATAATAGTCTTTTGTATAGTTTGACGTTATTTGTAATTTTTAGTTTAAAAAAATTAGATGAGTTTATATTGTCATGGTCTGTTTCAACTTTACGTATATACTCGTATTTTGTGTTTAAAAAAAACTGAAATGAGCGTTCCCAAACTGGCTCGCCTTTACATGTAGAAATTTGTGTGCAACCTCATCTGTTTCTAGTTTGCGGCGTTTTTGTCTGATATTGTTTTCTTAGAAGGCCCCAAATTAAATTCTACCCATAGTGTTATGACCACTTCATTGGAAGTAGTTCTATCTTCTAATCTACGGATGGACACGGTCCGGTGAATTGAAGATCATAGTCACTGGTCTTAATATTTTACATCTGGAATAAATAAAATGGTATAACACCATCTATATGATGCCATAAGGTTGTGTTATTTTCCATAGTTGTCTCTACAAATGGTTGTACCATTAGGTGAAATTGGTATGATTCTTTTACTCCCTGCTTATCATTTGATCAATACAGCTTAGCAAAGTCCACCGCTGAACAAAGGCCTTCGTCATAATTTCCCAATACTACACAAGCCCTTTGTAAAATCCTAAATAAATGTTCCCGAAGAAACTACAGTCTCTCCCATATTTACCTTTACCCATGGTAAGAAATGGGGTAGTAGAATTTCCTTATTTTCACTACATTTCATTATAAGTATTTATAGCGCTAATTCACTACTGTATATTAGCTCTGAATTTAGTACTGTATTAGTAATGAATTAAGCCTGTTTTGGTACGAAAATGTAGGTACAAATTATTCGTTAGACATTTTAGACTGACTTCAAATGAAACAAGGGCTTTTCATACACTATATACAAAACATAAAGTCAGATGATTCTGATGTGATGGTTTCGAAGTATATTTCTTAAATTTTTATTTATATGAAAAGATATTGCTATTAGATCTAGATTTTGTATTTATATATTATATTCATATTATTTTCGCTATCTATCTTCAACTTTTATGGTTGGGTATATAAATTCATCTCAGACAGACTATACTATTCAATAGATTCATATTTAACATGTCATATCTAATTATGTTTTAAATCACTAGAAATATCACTGCATTATGTAGGGTTTTAGGAGTATAACCATAGCATAGCACAAAATGCATGAATATAATTTGCATGAAAAGCATGAGTCGTGGCAAAATGTTAATGTACCCTTATAATTTTATTATCTGTGTTAGTTTGTATGAAAAATTTTTTTACTAATATTTTCCCGCGTGAAGTATAATCGATCTTTCGATCAATTCGAAACGAAATTTCGAAAGAACCGTCTTTTATAAAACATTTCAGTTTATTTTAATGTAGTGCATTATTAAACTCCATAGAACGAATTTTGTCACTGTTTTTTTTTACGCTAGTAAAAGTAAACTAACATCGTATGTAGACAAGGCCATACATAGATATTGTACCTACTTATTGTTGTAATTTTTTTTTGTAGAAAAAGCCAACAAGCAAATGCGAGTAGTGAAGAGCCTCTAGCGACGATAAAAAGGTCACAGACCTTCTCACCACAACCACAGAGCATCGGCAAAGGGAAATATATTTGCAGGTTAGTTTCTGTTTAATTATATTTTTAATTGAAAAGAATGTTTATAATTTTTTGTCACTTAATAAAAAAAAAGTCCCCTTTTATTTTAGTATTATTTATAATTAGAATTACATAATAAAGTTTTTAAGACGTGACCGTAAATTTAAAGTATTCAAAATCAGTGTTGAAGTATAAAGATTAATTTTTTTTATCGGAAGATACAGAATTAAGTTCTCTAATATAATATATAGTTAGTTTTGAAAATATGTAAGTCGCTATAACATTTTGATTAATTTTGAAATGAAAACAAAATTGGTTATTTTTCAGATTGAACCGTTCTGAGTCTGACTCGTCGATGGTGCAGTACGCTCGAAGGTTCACATTACAACCTCCCCCCACTACCGGTATACCGTTCGACAGAAGTGTTCGTGAGCGTAGATCTCTTAGGTCAGTAATTAAGTTTTATTTAACCTATAGTTTTCAACTAGTATAATTTTATATTCATTTACTTTTTCCTTAATTTTAAAAACTGATGACTTTATATGTCCGTTTGCCGGAAAAAAACGATGATTTTACATCCGTAGATGTCATAATGATTTAAGGCATAAAGGTTAGAGAACAGGAGAACGATCACTACGTACTAAAGCATAGCCCGCCTGTCCTTGAAAATTTGTAGAATTTATAGCGGCGCTGCCGTAGGTGAGTAGTGGCTGCGAAGTTATCTGTTTATGAGTACAAGTAGAGGAAGTTAGTTGAATAATGTACAAATTTTTTGCGTGACATTGGTGAGAAAATTTTCATGCTCCGTAACACACACATACACACACATACTCACACATACACACATACACACACATACTCACACATACACACAAACACACACAAAAACACACACAAACACACATACACACATACACACACATACACACATACACACACATACACACACATACTCACACATACACACATACACACACACATCACACATACACACAAACACACACACATACACACATACACACACATACACACATACACACATACACACACATACACACATACACACATACACACATACACCCACATACACACACATACACACATACACACACACACACACACACACACACACACACACACACATACACACACATACACACATACACATACATACACACATACACACACATACACACACATACACACACATACACACACATACACACACATACACACACACACACACACACATACACACATACACACATATACACACACATACACACACATACACGCACATACACACACATACACGCACATACACGCACACACATACACGCACACACGTACACGCACATACACGCACACACATACACACACACACATACACACACATACACACACATACACACATTTACATTTCACTACATTCTCTCTCGCTGTGCGTGTTCTTATCGTACTCGTTCTAAAAAGTCTATTGTTGTCCTCTTCTTTGAGATTTCATAATCATGGCGTCATATTTGTTAGTAAAGGGCCGGAGTGGCTAATTGACCACTTTCAAACGCTTCAATTTTGGCGTACTAACGTAACCTTTTTAATGTATAAATATCATTGACTGCTACTTCGTTTGTACGCTTATTCCTAACAAGGGCCAAGTCAACATCTGACCTTGTAACGTAAACGCTAACGCATCAACTCAACGCATATCCGTCCTTGTCTGCAGGTGGGGTCGCGTGAAGGGCGCCCGCGGGGCCCGCGGCAGCCACGGCGGGGCGCGGCGATCGACGCGCACGTCTCTAGACCTGGCGCTCGACCTGCAAGCGCAGCACACGCGCCTCGAAGACCTACGGAGTGAGATTGCTACGCTTGCGCACCTTAAAAAGCGGTACGTTCTACAAATTTGATTCAATACTGCGTTATTTTTTCATACAGGACATACAGACATGCAATTATGTTTTGGATGTAGGTGAAAGCTGCAACATCAAACAGTACCTGTCGGTTTTTTTATCATCAGTTTCCTGAATTGTCCTCCACTATGGGAGTAAATTTAAAGATGTATTTATGTTATACGATGAGTTGTCTCGCTTCAAAACTAAGCAGGAATATATGCAGATTTTGCGGTTTACTTATTATACGAGGGGTGATCCAAAAGTAATGATAATCGGTTACTTCAGGTCCGCATAGAAATTCAAAAAAAAAATGTTTATTGCTTGCTCATATACGCACTACGTCAGCTTAAAAAAAATCATATAAATAGATCGTGATTTCCGGGAGATACATTCATTTGAATACGAACTGTCAAAGAGATAACATCAACATAGAGAAAAACGAAATTAGAGCTGTCATCAAGTACCTCTGTTTGAAAAAATGTCTTCAATAAACATACACAGTGACTTAGTGGAAATATTGGGGGACTCTGCTCCTCCATATTCTACAGTTGCACGCTGGGCCAAGGAGTTTAAACTGGGCAGAACATCCACTGAAGATGAACATCGCGAAGGACGCCCATCCACGTCCCTCACTGAAGACAATGTGAAAAAAGTCGAAGATGTTGTGTTGGCAGATCGAAGAGTGACCATCAGGCATGTAGCTGAGGTCACAGGGATCTCATATGGCAGCGTTCAAAGAATCCTTGCGAACGAGTTGCATGTGAAAAAGGTCTCTGTGCGTTGGGTACCCAGAATGTTAACCGACGAGCAAAAGAAAAATCGAGTTGACATTTCGAGGGTCAATCTCGAAGAGTTCCAAGCAAATCAAGAAATTTTTTTGTTCCGTTTTGTGACTATGGACGAGACCTGGATCCACCATTTTGATCCTGAAACGAAATAACAATCGATGACTTGGAAGCGAGCCTCCTCACCGACGCCAAAGAAATTCAAAGTTTCAAGTTCGGCGGGAAAGGTTATGGCATCTGTTTTTTGGGACGCTCAAGGCATAATTATGGTGGAATATTTGGAAAAGGGAGCCACTATTACGGGCTCTTACTACGCAGACCAAATAAGAAGATTACGGGAGGCCATTAAGGAAAAAAGACGCGGCAAACTGCGAGCTGGAGTGCTGTTTCACCAAGACAACGCACCGGCTCACAAAGCCGCAGTTGCGATGGCTGCCATTCAAGAAACGGGATTCGAACTGCTCGAACACCCTCCCTATTCGTCAGATCTAGCTCCTAGTGACTTCTACCTCTTTCCTCGGCTCAAGGAACGCCTCCGAGGCAAGAAATTCGAAGACGATAGCGAAGTAATGGCCGCTGTTGAAGCGTTTTGGGAGGGTCAAGACAAAGAATTGTTTTCGAAGAGAATCCTAAGTTTAGAAAAAAGATTGACTAAATGTATTGATTTGTTAGGAGACAATGTAGAAAAATAAATTATTATTTTAACTTTAATTACCGTATTTTATTTTCATTATCATTACCTTTGGATCACCCCTCGCAATGTTTGGGAATACCATATCTCTATAATTGATAGTATCAGGCTTTACTTTGCGGAAATTCATTATAATAAAGATATTAAAATTTTATTCGCAAACATCCGCTTAATTAAATACAAAGATGTGTCTTCAATCCATCAATTCAGCTCTTAAATTCAGGTAAGATACATCATTATATTTAATTAAGCAGATGTGGTTGCGAATTAAATTTTAATATCTTTATAATACCATATTTTCCCTTTTTCTAAATCAATGCCAGCATTATACTTAGTACCCGGATGACCGAGCTTTGCTCGGTTTTTTTAAGTTACATTTATATACAAATTACATGAATAATAGTTTTTGATCTTATTGACACAATAGAAAAAACTGAACTGGTTATTTGAATAAAAAATCATGAGTTAGATTAATTAAAATTTTCGTATTTTTAAAAAATACTAAAAAAATTTTTTTTAGTATTTTTTAGATTTTCTCACAAAAGAAGGGAACTTGAAAAAAAAAAGGAAAAAGTCGGACCCAAGACGGGACGCGAACCGCGGAACTCCGATATCACGCCCGAACAACATCCTATTTGAGCTATTACGATCGTTGGTAACCTGTCAAAATTTACCTTCTTATATTGTAGCAGTTTCTTTATTGCCTGAAAACACGGACAAGAGAACATTTTCTAAAAATAAATCCTAGCTAGATCGATTTATTGCCCTCGAAACTCCCTGGACACAAAATTTTATGAAAATCGTTGGAGCCGTTTCCGAGATTCCGATTATATATATATATATACAAGAATTGCTCGTTTAAAGGTATAGGATAAATCTGGTTCTTCTATTGTCTAGTTCTATTCTGTGTGAGCGTGGGTCTTCCCCGGTCGAGTCGCATGCAATGCAGTTGTATTACGAAGGCTCTCCGACGTAAATCGTGTATTATTGTGTCGTAGGTTGGAAGAGGCGTGTACTCGCGGTGACACGGCAGTTGCGGCGGGGGTGTCGCGCGACGAGACGCTGCGGCGGCTGGTGAGCGGCGCGCCCGAGCCTCCGCGTCTGCTGCACCGCACCGCGCGCGAGATATACCGCCTGCGCCGCGCGCGCAGACCCGACCTCGTTACCTTCAAGTGAGCGCACCCGCCTTCCCTCTCTCTCTCTCTCTCACACATACACACTCACTAATCGCTGCATAGTGAGACGCCCACTTCACTGCACAGCGTATCGACCTCGTAGATTTTTGGGGTATGTTCCGAAACGTTTTCAGTATACTGCCGAATACAAATGACGTCATCAATTGACACTATATTGTACTGGCGTGCCGCCGCCATATTGTGTCGGATATCCGGCCATAATAAAACAATTTTAATTGTGTGTGCGCTGAATGAAGCATGCCAGAATTTGTTTTTATTTATTCACATACAAAAAATTATAGAATAATTGCTGGTATCTCCATTAGGAGGATATAATGATTTTTGGAGACAAAATGACAAAATAAACACTTTTCCAATATGGCGCAAATGTATGATGTCATATACTGTCCTATGTTTTGGAACGAAACACCAGTATAGCGTCGATTCATGACGTCATTTGCATTGGACAGTACATGGGTTCTATTTTGGAACATACCCTTTATATGCTGTAATGGTAACCCATATGCTTTCATCCATCTATCCATTACAGCCTGTAAAGGTGCACTGCTGAACATAGGCCCCTCATAGATTGCCTCATAGGACGGATTTTACCATAGTTGCCACGCTTTTCAGGCGTGTTGGCAACCGCAGTTTTTATTATTGTTTTGAGTGGATATCAGGATTTGTAAATTCATGGATACCCTATGCGCCCGAGTGACGTAATCACTGTAAAGATCACCGCCCACGCTAGCTACCTACACAACATTCCAATAAAAACACAATAGTTACACATAACCTGTGATGTAACTTTTCCTTCATACTTTCATCCTGGCTTAGGACAGGCAAAAATTGAGGAATTAAGGAAAAATTGAGATTTTACTAAAAAAAATGTTATTTTTCATTAAATTTACGTTCTTTAAGTGAAACCAAACCACTGGTTTCAAGGTTAACGGTGTTTACACTAACACCCTGTATAAAATAACATACTTCCTTATGATCACAAGACAGCATTTATTGTAATAAAATACTATTGTTTAATAATAATATTTTATTTATTGTTACAGAGAAAAAATGGCGTTCTTTACGCGGACAAAAACGATAATTCCCGTCCCGCCGGATGAAGAAGATGACATCTCTGAAGACGACTGGGAGGAAGATCTCGAAGAGCGGCGGACCCCCGATGGCAGGTCTTCTAAAACATCGTTTGAGTTGAGGCGGGATACAACCAACCAAACCTCGCCCGGGACTGTTGCAAACCAATTGGAACAGGTCGTGGAATGCAAAAATCCCTGTTTGAACCCTGAACCGTGCTTCGAGAACCTTCCGAAGAGAACTGATGAATTGAAAATAACAGAAGCGACGGAGAACGACGCGAAGACTGAAGATGTAAGATATGAGTTCGTTGTTGACAGAGTACTGGGTGTTCAGGTTTGAGTGACGTATGAAAGAGATGTTTTGAATTTCTTATTGTCTATAAAATTTTACATTCCTACTTGGCTTGATTATTTTAAGTTATTATATTTCTCATGGTGTGATTGTGGTTGAAATTCTTATAACGACATGAAACTTGTCAACTATATACGTAAAATTTACGTAGTATTATATAATTTTTTTAATATTTAAAATTACAGTACAAAAATTGTTTTAGGCAATAATGATTCAAAATATCTCTTTAATTCTATATTTGAAATGAGCTTGCAAAAATATTTGTTAAGAGAGATGATAAAAATATATTATATTATGACGGCACCGTTTCAAATCGCTTATAAATTTAAAAAAAATCTGTGATTGCCTATTGAGGTTTCTGGACTGAAGACTGACACAAAGTATATATTATTGATATTGTAAAATTACAGATAAACAGTTTTAAATTTGTCAAAATCAAATTTGTAAAAGTGTACTCCATTTTATAACCAACGGTAAATATTTAGGTGAAATATATATTTAAAATTGTCGTTATACATCCGGTCTCTAATCTGTGTACGTACATATTATGTGCAAAGAGAGTGCCATAAGATGAATGAGTTATTAAAAAGTTGTGTTTTAATTTATAACAGTCATTAAAGCTGAATCGAACCAATATGTTCGTTTTATAAAGCGATGCAAAACACGATCTTATATTTTGTATTGCGTATACATTTTGTTTTTATCTAATCAATGTTATAATTTGTACAAAAGAATTGTGCCTTAACATTTCGGTGCCTTAAGTTCTTGTGTGGAAGTCTGTAATGTGCCATAGACTGGCATGCCGATAGCTGAGACACGTTAGGTACACTTAGTTTGTATGGAGAGTCACAAAATATATGCCAAACATTTAACGTAATTAGAGACTAATGTGTGTGGGGATTGACTTATATCTTTTTGTAAATAAAATACGTAATATCATGGTTAATGGTGACCCACCGGAATAGTCTACTGTATAATTCAGTTTCTTTTTTTTAAATAGGTCCACCGAATAAGTAGGATTTGACAGGCCAAAAAGAGTTCGCTTTGTATATAAAGCCTTCAACAGTCGAACAGTTCGTGGTGAATATTGCATTTCCGTAACCGTAACGGACCCCGGGGAGTGATTTTCGAATTAACTTTGCCACTCATTACCGTGACAATAAATGTTAAATTAAATCGGGAATTAAGAAAAGTACACAAAAGTATTACTAAATGCGGACATTAATAATTTTAATCGTCCCGTCTTAATATTTATTGTCAGTGATTGGGTGTGATTTAGAATTAGTTTCTTTGGTCTGACTCAATTGCGTACCTGCTCCTCTTTAAAAGTTTCCATTCCTCATAAAAAATATTGGTATGCGGACGCTAAATATTTTGTTTAGAGTATACTCAGGAACGATTGTTGTGTTTTTTATACTATATGTCTAACTGCTGTAACCGACCGCGTAATAAATCATTATCTTGTGTTTATGTATAGATTTGAAATAGATAATGGTTCATTAGACGACTTTAAATGTGCTTTAAAAACTTGTGAACCAAAATATTAAAATGTATATTGTACCAATTGTATTGTACATAATATTATGTTAATTTGTGCCAAGTCAATTGAAGTATCAAAATTTAAAGTTTGTTTGAACGTCTCCTGGTATATTTTAAACTATATTAGGCGTCCCTGTCGTGCAATATTACGAGAATTTTGTATAAGTTGTATTTAATTCCATGTGTTTGTTGTATTACGATCTGAATTTGTACTGAAGAGTTTCTTCTTTTCTCATTTCGCCCGTAGTTTCAGTTCCGCGGAACTAGATTATAGTTTGTATGAAAATATTAAAATATTATATAAGTGTACATTTTGTAAATTATTGTATTTGTAGCTTGTATTAGTTACTCGTCTTGTACATAATTTGAGATTAATCGACGCTCTGTATTCTGATTTTTGACTATGGTTTTAATTATGATTAATTAAATGTAGTCGATGTTAAGTATTTTTTATAACAAAGCAATAGTCTTGTAGTTACTTAGTATATAAAGGTAATGTTACATTTTTGTAAAAAATGTATATTTTATATAAACATTTACGCGAAGTTTATACATATATTTTTTTTTGTAATTGTTATGCAGGTGAATTTGGATTTGCCAAATTAATATAATTTGTTTTTAATTCTTCCATTAAAGAAAAGGATTATTATATTTTGTAAAGATGCCAATACTGACGTTAGCAAGTTGATATAAATAAAAATTGAAAATAAAAATAATAAATTAATAATTTTACTTGTTTGATTTCTATGAGAAATAATAATTATACATTCAGGACGGAGAAAGGAGAAAGAGTTTATGCTCCTTCGAGGAACTCTTCAAGATTACATTACAAAAATTATTAAAAACATGCAGTCGGCGGGTTCACAACCGCCGTTATTTATTATTTTGAGTTGTTAACAGGAAGATGCTGCTGCTCATCTCCTGCTTTAGTTTCCGTCTATCGTCTCACGACACCCACGACACCGTAAGGGGTGGTGGGTATTCATACCTCACCACACATTCAAGATTTTGTTAAATAAATTTATCCGCAATGGATATCGATTACACAAGATTTCTAAGTTTACATTTAGCGAGTTTCACATTTTTATAAAGCACCTATCTCTTGAATCTTAGTCGATATTTTAGATAAACACTAAACACAAGACTGTTTCACCAGGTAGTAAAGTATTTTTTTTAAAATATATATGGTTGGCATCACTCACTGCTGTGATCTGCGGTTAAGATGAGAAGAATTGTATAGTTACTGGCTGTGAGGCATTACATACCTCCTATCACAAGACTACCAAAAAGTTGCAACGTTGCATAACGTTTTGATATGCTCAAATTGGTCATTAAACTCTAAGAATGATTAAAAAAGTACTATAATTACCTAGTAGATTTACGCTACAGAGACTTTTCATCTTTACATACCACATGGCGAAAGAGGTCACCACAAGGCAACGACTACACAGCCCGAACTGTTTAGTCGTCACAAGGTTCATTTACTTTCGAAATGTCAGTTCTTTCACTATTCTAAGCTAGATCTTAACTACTATCCCGCCTGATGGTAGGTGTTGATGAGGCCTAAGATGGTGAAGCGCACTGACTTAACAATAGCCTATTCACTCTTGCCTTGAAGTCACCAACATTCTTATCGGTTCATACCGAAAGAGCGTGGAAAACAGAAAAAAAAAACTAAGTCTGCTGACATATCATCGGCAATTCAAAGATTCATCTTCATTTATAGCCCATTCCAAAAAACCGGGGAGGTTTACAAATAGGCTGTATGTTCTTTTAATTTTGTACGTGTTACGCGATATCTTCCTTGATTGTTTTTTTTTCTTACTTATTATATGCCAGTACTTGACCCGAATCCCACTTGGTGGTAAGTGGTGATGTAGCCCTATGGTAAATGCATGTTTAGTGTAAAGAGCTTGGTGTATTCTGACAGAAAAATAGACGGCGGTAAATTACTCCTATCCTTTGATGTACGCATTACAATAGTAGAAGCAAACCGTTTGGTTTTAATGCGTGGAATATCGACAATAAAGGGATGAAGACCCGCCGACCGCTTGATGGAAAGGAGAGGGAGGAATTAAAGCGTGTAATTCCTGCGCACTCTCAGCGAAATACATCCTATAGAATAATAGAAGGCTGGCTACTGTGCGCTTGTGCTTGAGGCTGACAAGATTGGTTACAACCAAACGAAGGTCACCAATGAGCCTCTTAGCACGTCTCTCCACTGAGTTCAACGCAGTACTCCATGTACGACTTCATCATTCCACCATGCATCTTTTCTTTTACTACTACCTCTTTTTGTCGTTCCACATATTTCTTCCGCTGCACTTACCATTCCATCCCTAAGGTTCTGCCATGTTCTCTACACCCATTCTTTCCTGCCATCGATGGTGTCAAGCTTTTCGGCTACCCTCGTGTGATATTTGTCCCTAGTATCCGCTTCCTGAAGCTTCCAGCTTCGGATGCGACAGACCGACTGTGGTTCTGTTACTGCCGTCCGGTAGCGCCAACCCGCGAACAAACCCCTAAATCCAGTAATTACTAGATAATGATCCGTTCCCAGGTCAGCACCCCTGAACACTGTGTATCCATCACCTGTTTTCGCAGTCGGTTCTCTCATTCTTTCTTTCTCTAGTGTACATATGGATTTTCCTGTGATTAAACATAGTGTTTGTCACAAGAAGACCCTTTTCCTTGCATACAGCCAGTATAAGCTTGCCAGCATCATTAACCCTTTTATCGCCAAACTTTCCAAGCACCGACTCGTATCCTGGTCGAGCGATACCTACCCATCCATTCAAATCACCACATACAACAGTTCTTTCGTTTCCCTTAACTAAATCTAGAACTTCTCTTACATTCTCCCAAAACTCCTCCAGCTCAGCCCTGGACGACGAAGCTACCGGCGCATAAACAGCCAAAAGGAATAACTTCGTAAGTCCCAGTTTAAAGCGAACCCACAGAAGTCTTGAGTTCACAACCTTGTATTCAGTCATAAGATCGACCAACCGGGACGACAACAGCACCCTCACTCCCTGGCAGGCGTTCTCGCTTTCCGGGACTCCGGACCATATAGCTAACGTCCCGCCAGGGAGCTCTTCAGTACCACTGCCTTTCCGTTTGGTCTCCGACATACACACGACATCTAATTCTCTTTCTTTCATTATTTCGATCAACTCATTCGTCTTATCTCTCATGCCCCCTCTAACATTCCACGCACCAACTCTGCACTCCGTCTTCCACCTTCCGCCGTGTCGGGCTGTGCGTGACGGGTGGCGGTCCCCATCGCCGCTTTGCGCGCTGCAATCCACACCAACGGGGACGAGCGTCGCCTTGGTGGGACGCCCTAACTCCCGTTTGCATGGGTGCGCAGCTGTGTAGAATTGCAGCCCTGAAAAGGGCTGGCAGGGGTCGCGACGAGCACGCTTCTACAATGACCCTATCTAATAGTT